CGGACTTGTTTTGGGTGAGGGCCCTTTTATATCCAGCATCATTTGGAATCTGCGAATTGAGTCCTGCCGCAGGGAGTAAAACAAAGAATACTACACTGCTTAGAGATTATCATGGCTTGGTCACTTAGCGATCACATTGTTTGGTTTCACTGGTCATGCCATGCAGAGATGTTTCAGTAGACGACAATATGGCGCTGCATGGGTGTATATGTTTTTTTTTTTTCTTTGCACAGTTTTGGTTTGGGGGTTGAATGAGGCTCTCCAGTCCTTGCCCAATTCCAAAGCATTGCAGCATGGAAAGCTGACTCCAAATACACATTGGATTATCTACGACTTTCGTTTTCGAGAACAAAGCAAGCTCCATGGATGTTTCTCTCCTGGTTCCAGCAGTCAGTCGGATAATTGGACATTCGTCTACTGTGGCTATATTTCCTTTTGTGTGAATACATGACGGCCTTCCTCTTCGGAAACAACTAAACTAGCAAGAATCTCGACCAGGCAAGCCCCCACCCTCGTGGTGTTTTCTGTCAACATTGTTTGGTGTTCATGGAAGAATGTTGAACCCCGGATGAATCAACCCCGTTTCCGAATCGGGGGAGAACGGGGGGATAGGTGAACAGCTCCCCGGAAAGCTCCCGATTCTTGGGAACCGAACGCTTGTACTTGAGGGAAGGTTTTGGCTTAGAGCGAGAAAAAGATCAGACAGGAGTGGCCTAAAACCAAAGGAGACTCCATCAAGTAATGATGTTTTCCGGGTTCCATTGCCTGAAGGTTCACCACGGCGCCGGTTTTGGGAGGCTCCTCTGTTTCTTTCAAATCGCCTTGGGATCCATTTGCGTGTTTGCCTTCGGCCTGTGCGGCAGAGTTTCGGGGATAGCCCCCCAAGTCTTGGGGAATGGCCAACTTCCTTGTCAACGTGTTGGGACCCCTTTCTTCGCGAGCCTCCCAGAGAAGTCGTAACGTTCATGTAGATTGGTGAGTATCCCTTGTGGCTGAATCGGAAGATCCGGACATCGGACTACCTGGGTGTCGTTTTGCCAACTTAGCGAGAGCTTAGTTAACCCGAGTCGTTAGTGGTTTATAGCTAAGAAAGCCCAGGCCAAGCAAGAGCCATGTGTCGAGGAACATGTTCTTCGTGGTTGCCCTGCTGGTCTGGTCCTTCATGTACCTCAACTACCTGCAGCAGGCGATTGGGATCCTTTGGATTTGGGGGCCTAAGGCCAACTGATTGGGAACGGCTTCATAACATAGGCCTAAAGATGAGTTGTTTCCTTTGGTTTCCCTTCAAAAAGGGCTCCGAATGTCATGAGAAGCTTGATATTGGGTCTAGAGTTTAGTTGGTTGGACTCTTGGACATCGTTTCCATAGATGCTCCACCAGTCATTGTGGGTTGCGAAAGGAAGGTCGTAGCTCATGAGGTAAGATTCCTTGCTGGCTTGGAACGCCCCGGCTCCCCTTACGACCAAGCCCGCCGGGACTCGCCTGATGTTTGCCCAACTCGCCATTCTTTTCGGGTAGCCTCCCAGAATGGTGGTGTTCCCAACCCACGAAAAACGGGTTCTAGCCTAAACAACGCCACTCCCAAGCGGTGTCCTTTTTTCTCCAGGTGCTGCCCAGCTTTCCCCACGACATCCACGACCATTGCTCTTCCCGGCCGGATGGGGCAACGGAGGGACTAAAGAAACCAAAGTCATGCAAGAGAAAGTTTGAGTCAGTGCTGGAAGGAAAGCCAAAAGGGATCCTCATGAGAAGAAAAAGCAAGATCCAGCATTTTGGGCTAGCCGGGCGCTTGTGACAAGCACTTCCATATTCAGGGTAGCCGCCGTGGAGTCATGTCGCAAGAAGCCGTGACTCCAAGAAACGTAGCAACCTAATCTAGATGAAACAGGCCATTTTTCATTGTATACGTACAAAATGCAGGATATGTCTCACATGGTGCTCAGGGGGAGCTCCAAACATAGAGTGTGTCTCTTCATGATGGCCTGCTGCATGTTCTCTCCTCTTGGAGTCTGGCTCGATGGGGCGGGCGCTGAGTGGTTGATTGGTTTGAGCCAGCTGCCAGGGTCCAATTTGGCAGAATCAGGCCCATTGAACCTGGTCAACTGGTCGGATTTGGATTTTTTTGGTGTGAAACGAGTTTTATGCCCGCTGATTTGGATAGCGAACGCCACGAAATCCGCGATCAATTGCAGTTCCTTTGTTTGAGACACATTATGGCATGTTTGTTGGGTGATCCCCTACAATGGCTGAAGGGGTCCTTTGTTGGAAGTGAGCCACGGGCGTATCTCAATGGCAGTTCAATGGAAACCAACAAATGGAAGCCTGGCTGTGGTTGCACAAAGACAGAAATAACAAATGTATGTCTCGGTCTCTTTCTAGGTATGGCCAAAAGAAGTTGACATGTCTCAAAGCAGGGATCAAAAGGGCGTGGTTCCTTTTGATGTCCTTTCAAGGCCAGCAAACAAGAGGTGCCTTCCAAAAAAGACACCCAAACGGCAGGCACCTCAGGTTTCCCTCAACGTCCAAGCATCTTTGATGTTCATGAAAAAACCCTTTTTGGATTGAGTCTTGAAGCGAAACCAAAAGGCACCTCACCATTGTGGAGATTCCCGACCGAAAGTGTCGGGTTGTCTTTAAATGTTTTTACATCCGTCAAGGTGCCTGAGCTGATTCTTGGTGGCTCCCAGCCATCCCCTTAGCTTTTTAGCCTTTTAGTGTTTATCGGCGATTTCCATTTAACCCACTAAAAGTTAAGCTTTCATCAGGGGATCTGAGACCAGCCAAAGACCAAAACTGCCAGGTTCTTCTCCAAGTACAGCGTCCTGTGCCCGGTCTTCGGAAACTCGGAGGAGTGCTTCCCCTTTGGACGAAGCTAGCGTTGACAGATCCAACCGATTCCGACGGTTCGTCGGGTGCCCGTGCTCCGACTCAGTGCAAATCCGCTGGATGCGATTTCTTCACTGTTTGAGCAAGGGGAAAATAGCCGAACACAGGATGAATGTCCTTTACATCAGGGTCTCCCTGATGTCCAGATTGGAAAACATGGAGATGCAAGGGAAATGTCAGAATTTCTTGGACCGATCTCTGGCTTTTGGGTTCCGTGAGATGCTTAGGACGGCAAGCTTGGGGTTGCCCCTAGCAACCAGGGTTTTTAGCTGTTTGCTGTCGGACATGCCCGGCAGACCTGCGTGGATCAAACGCATGGCGCAGTTGCAAACCAATCAGAACCCCTCTATGCGAGCTTTTCTGTGAAGAACTTGGTGGGCAACTTCTTCGGAGAACAAGTAGTTTTGACCCAGTGTCATGTGTCTTGGTTTGACCCACAGCCATATGTGTGCAGACCCCTCTAGCGTCATCCTTGCACCTCCGAGATTCGGATGGCGAGAAAATCACATCCGGCGGCTGCACTTGAAGCCTCGAAGTGCCGAAATGTGGCCGCGTGTGGCCGCGCGTGTGTGTGTGTGAGTTTTGAGGGCACCCTTAAATCCAAAAGGAACGCTACATTTTTAGGGCTTCCCTATGTTTCACAGGATCGCTACATTTTTGGGTTCCCTATTTTTCACACACACATGTACCAAACAAGAGTACTATTTTAGTAGAACCAACAGCGCTCTGGAGCGGCTGCGGGGTGCTGGAAAGGGGATCCACCCAGATATCTCCATCCCGTATTTCCCAACAACCTTTACCTCAACTAGGTCCCCAGCAGTCCCTTTTAGCCTTTTTTGGGGGAGGGTTCCCCAACTAAAATAGACAGACAAAAGTTGGTACCCTTACTCTAGCCTCTCTACTGGAGGACCTAGTCAAACAACAACTATACAATACCCAAGTGGCAGAAGCAACGGGCCACAAGGCCGCGGAGTCGCCTCGGTTCGATAACACGAGTCGCTCGTTTGACATGGCCAAAGTGCCCTGGACCTGCCGGAGGCTTTGTTTGTTTGGATGCCCTCAAGTTGAAAAAGACTGCCATTTTTTCTTTTGGAAGAAACATGTGTTTCCCTTCTTGGTTTTAAAAGTTGAAAAACTGCCAATCTTTCATTGAACAAACATGTTCCCCTCTTGGTTTTTAAATGGGAATCTATCACTCCTGGACATATGGTCTGTTTTTTTCCAGGGGACAAGCAAAGCCCAGGCTTGACTTGCCCCATGCGGGTTTCCTGATTTCGGCAAGACCATCTCAAGTCAAGGCGCCAAGAGGCAGGCCTTGGTCATAGACTCGCCATGGTGTCATCGGAATATGTTGTGTTGATCATGCGCCTGCAATGTGCATGTGCACATGTTGTGTGTAGACAGACCTACTCTAGAACTATACATATGTATATTCACATGTATGTGTATATATATATATATATATATATACTTAGGCTCGCGCTGGCCTCAAACTCCATTCGACATAGCTGGCGTAATTGAAACGTGTCCGCTCAATTACGCTTCACCTACATGTTCATAATAACAAGTTGTGGCATCATCTATATAGTTCCTCTCAGACCAGTGCCCCTTTCGCCAACGAACAAGGGATAACATCCTTCTTTTTCTCTTGACTGGAGGTCTAAGCCAACTGCAGCTCTTCAGATCGCTTATCGCTTGACACCAGCCAAACGGCTGGTTTAGCTTTCACTCCGCTGGACGCCAACCGAAAATGGTGCCCCAAAATCCAAAACAGTGACCCATCCTAAGCCTGTTGTTCACTACCGCCATTCGGGGCCGTTGGGACGTGGTTGCAGGTAGACACCTGCATATCTGGGTGCGTCTGTTTTTTTTTGATCCCTTTTGGGGTGCTCCATCCAAGTCAAAAAACGAGTTCCAATTGTGATTCCAAGAATTGGACCTGCGGAGCCGAGGTGTGTATCCCCGCGCCTTCTTATTCCAAGACCAGTGCCCATTGTTACCTTGGAGCCCCGATTTCCTTCAAAACCAACTACCACAGAGCGGGTCCCTGTTCTCCCAGCCGCTGATGGACATTTTCGGACAGTTCGAATGCACAGCCCGGAATCTGGAGTGAGGTCGTCACGCTGGGTCTACGGCGGTGACCGTGTACTGGCCGCGGGAGCGGGCAGAGAAGTTTGTCAAAAGCCGATGGAAAAAGCCCTGAATCGTCTGACAGGAGAAGACAGAGACAAACTCATGTCGGGACCGGGGTGCTTGGTGAATTTGCGGAATGTGCCCATGCTCATTGAGCAGTATGATTTTGACGGCTTGCGTGCACGGCAAAGGGGACCCCGACCCTATTTGGACGAGGTGGAACCCCCCTGAACCGTTCAACCTGAACCCCCCTGGCATGCGATTATATACAACATGTTTTCGCCAAAACACACATTTATCGGCAGGGGGTAATAATCAGGGGAAGCGATTAAGGACTGCTTGTTGTTGGGTTGCCCTTCGACACCAGGGGGGGTTCATCTCAGGAATACATCCTTCACTTGTTTGGCTTTGTCATACACTATGCAACTTGAGTTGTACAGTTTATTGAAGAGATGTGCTGAACTGTGAGGAGTTTAGTATTGGTTAAGCATTGGGTGAATTAGGGTGTTTTTGTTTTGATTTGGGCCTGCTTGTTTTTGATAGGGGTGGATTTATTAATAGGGGGAAAGAACTAGTCTACACATGTATACATGTAGTCAATGCCTTAACCAAGTGTTTGGACTTTGTTTGATCACATCCATCAGGAAGTGATCAATGCTTGCTGCCCAACAAAACGAGACAAGTAGGAAACAAGTTGGGACACCTGTCATCTGCAATTTACCTGGGTGTTGTGCTTTTGTTAGCGCGATTTACAAGGTGTGTGGTTGGCTTGCCGTAATGTGCGGGCTTCCCGGGAATTTAACCATGGTTTGTGTCGTCTCACTTGCCCAACGCCGACTTTTTCACCTTTTGGTGTTCCATTGGTCCATTTTAATTGTTGTTTTGGTCCTCTAGACAACATATTGGTCTTTTTCCCAAAAGGTCCATTAAACAAAATGTTGGTTTTGATCCAAAAGGCCCATGAAACAACGCGAAGGGGTCCTTTCCCCAACAGGTCAGGTCCATCTTCTTGGTCTTCCCAAAAGGTCACTTCCACCGTTTTTATCTTTTTCTTTTTCCCGAAGCTCCACCTTTCGTTTCCGGGTCCAAAAAAACTGGCCCGCGTCGAGAGACGCGGGCCACCGCGATCCGCAAGCGAAGCGCGCGCGAGGAGCAGATGGCGCGTCTGCTGGAGTTCCTCCACGGCGGCAGCTTTGTGGCTCGGGAGCTTGGCAAGGGGGGAGGGGAGTGGTATAAATCCCCAGGGAACTTGAGGGAACCCCAGATTCGTTGTTTTTGCTTGCTTTCCCTGGCAAAACCAACCAGAGATAGGGTAGTTCCCAACAACCTTTACCTCAACTAGGTCCCCCAGCTAGGTGCCCTTTTACCGTTTCTTTTTTGGGGGAGGGTTCTACTAACATAGACTGCAGAAACAAGGGTGTACCCTTATTCTAACCTCTCTACTGGAGGACCTAGCCACTAAAGCCAGGGACCACCCCCATATTAACAAACAATTGTGTATTACTCTGGGGTCAACCTTAAAAAGTAGGGTTCTCGAATTGAGTTCTCTAGATGTTTGGTGGTTTCTCTGAGTAGCTGGTTTCTCAAAATAGTTGGTTGGGCCACTCACCTGCGTCCCTGAAACGTTTAGGGTAGTTTTTGGTGGTTCTGTAAAAACCAAGCAAAGCTCCTACTTTCTGCGTTTTATGTTAAGGTTGACCAAACCTGTCCCACGCACAACCCGATAGTTGTATTTTTGTTGTCCGTCGGAGATGCTTGGTGGTCACGGGGGGCCAGAGTAATCCGACACTGCTGGACTTGTTCTACTTTTTGAGTTTGGACCATTTTAGTGGTAAGCAAGTTTGGACTTTTGTGAGGCCAAGCGCCTTTGACCATGCACCCTTGCAAGATGGAAAGCCAAGGAAAGTGTCTAAACAGACTTGCGCGGAACCTCCAAACGATGACCGACGCAACGTAAAGCGGGCGGTCGTCACGGTGTAACTTACAAACGGGATTTGCACCATGAGGCCCTAAAATAGTAATAGAATACAGTCAGTGGGGTGTTGGTGTTTCAAAACAGAAGTCCCGACCCCATAACCCCCCCCCCCCCCTGCCCAACAACCCCCCACACCCCAACCCCCCGAAACCACGCATGCACGCACGCTCGCCCGCCCGCCCCGCAACTCCCGAAGATTTTCTTTGTAGGGACCTCTCAGGCAAGCTGAGACGTTTGGACTCTTCTTCGATGCATCCTGAGTCCATTGAAGGTTTGCTGGGTGCAATTTTTCCGGGACGAACACCCCGAACGCCGGAAGAAACGCCAAGCGGACATAGTTTGGTTGAAAGTTGAAAGTTTGGAGAGCCCATGGGGGATTTGGCGATCGGACCCATTCCGGCGATTCCCAAAGCCGAGGGTTGCTGTGCAGAAAGATTGGGACTGGTCTGACCTTGGGGTTCACACAGCCCTTGGAACCGTAGATGACGTGCGGCTACGGAACTGATCAGTGACCAGTTGGACACCTGTGCACTTGCGACCTGAATATATGTGTGACTCCAGAAAACGAGCAACCGGCCCGCGACCTTGCGATTCATTGCAAGTTGGCCCAACAAAGAGGAGAGATGCCCTTCCAACGCGCGCCATTGCAAAAGTCCATCCAACCAGGCAACCCGCAAAGAATCAACCAGCTTACCAAGCAACCAAACCAATCTCACAAACCAAGCCCCGGAATCTCCTTCCAACCCTGCAAAATGGCTTGCCGGCTTGCCTCCCCTTTCTTTTTTGTTATCATGTGATTCGGGTCAGGAACCTAACGTTTATCTCCGCTCGCTCGATCCGCGATCGATGTATCGCTCCCGGGCTCGATTTCCGCTCCGAGGCCAAGGTGGAGGACCTGCGCGTGGCCATGGATTGCGCGAGCTTCTTCGGGGTGCCGTCCCTGCGCCTCGGAGACATCGAAACACCGAAGAGCAAATCGGCGGGGTCGGCTGGGATCGGCTTGCAAGAGGTAGGGAATCGAATGACAACGAGTTTCCGGGTTTTGGGGGAATGAGCCGGTTTTTGGGGGGATTCCCTGAAAGGAAGCCAGAGGGGATGGTTTTTCCCGGGGTCATTCCGTCTCTCATTCCCTGTATCTCTCGAAGCAAGTCGGTGGGTATCCGAGACTCGTGGAGCGCGAGCCGTACTTTTATTCGTTTTGGTTTGGGGGAGAACCCCTTTGAAGCCAACCACAAAGAAGTGTGCCACTTTTTCCCAGGGCTTTGTTGCAGTTTAGAGGGCGAGCAGAACTTTGGGATTTCAATCAAAAGCAAATGGTAATTAGTTGTCCGTCATATAACCAGTTATGCTGGTCTATATCCTTGGAACGAGGTCCAAAAGACTCCCCCGAAAAGAACTGGAGCCAAAACCAGCGGCGTTTTTGGAGGAACTTGTTTGTTTTTAATGACGCACCCCCCTTTAATGAACGCCTTTTTGGGGTCCCTTGTGTCCCTTGTAAATTGATGGGCAGTACTTAGTTTGGGACCTGGTTATTTGTCTAGGCTGTACTTGGTTTGCACCATGTCGCGCAGTTTCATTTGTTTGACTGCTTAGGCTGCATCACGTGCGGGAGTGGGTGGCCGCCAACCTCAAGGCGGGGGTCCTGGCCAGCTGAACAATTTGTTCAGCGAGGGGGTTGAAATGGGGATCTTATGTTGGTTGCACTGTACATCCCACAAGAGGGGTCCTGATGCTCAATGGAAATCAAGAAGTGAACGAACTGCATAGAGGTGTGTAATTATATATATATATATATGTATATATATATGTATATATATATATATACATATATATATATACATACATATATATATATATATATACAGCAGTTATAGGTTCTTTTCTCGCCATCTCGCGGGGGTGTAGCTATGCGCAGCTACGCCTTCGCCAGCGCAATGCTGTAGGTCCCTCTGCTAGCTGGCGAATATCTTCGGGAGTCCATGGTCCATTTGGCACGGACATACCAAAGTGTAGGGCAAAAGGTGAACGTGCATGCACCGACGGGGCCAAAGCTGTTGTGAGCCCCTGCTTTCCGTACACTCTTATTGAGGGGACCCTAAACGGGCTCTAAACGGGTTCCAGCTTGCACCAATGGACAATCATGTGTATAGCCAGGGGTGATCCAATGTCCTTCAGGGTCGGGGAAGCAAGAATTAACCATTTTGACCGCGGCTCATGTTCCCAGTTAAAATGACCACGTCTCGGCCCCCTTTCCGGACGATTGACTCCCTTTCCCTTGATGGATTTATGGGCGGGCGGATTCGCCAGGTAGCAACGGCCCCTGCCTTGTGGAAGTTCGTGGAGAGCGAGCCTCACTTGAAGGAGAGCAGCGCCTGCGAGCGAGCTCTCGCACTTCCGATGGCCACAGAGCCCCTGGCATGAAGCTCGTTTTTGGGTTGCCAAGTGTTTTTTGTTTGTTTTTTTTGGGGGGGAGGATTCTGCTTCTTGCCTTTTCGCTGCTTTTACTTCCTGAGTTTCTGGACTTTAAAACAACTTTTTGAGAAGATGTATGGTGCAGTGGAAAACAAGTTTGGACTTTTTCTGACCAATCCACTTAGGAAGTCAGTTTGTTGTACTTTGGGGATCCTGTCTTTGGGTTTGTTTGCCGGCAAGAGCCGACTTTTAGCGCCCTCCAACTGCCAACGAAGCCGCTTTGGCAGCCCAAGGCCGTATGCTACTGCCACTGGTGGTCTCTTCGTTTGTTTGAGAGCCGTCGTGTTGGCGAAGCTTAAGCGGGTTCTGCTTTCGCCTTTCTGGTCAACGCCTTCCAAATGGCGGGGTCGGAATTTCCCACCACCAAGAAAGCCCAAGCATGTTCAGTCCGGTGTTGACGAAGTTTAGCGGAAGCCACCAAAGCAATGGTTATGGTTATGTGTCAAAATGGGGCACCCCGTTTCAAAATGGGTGGTTTCCCTGTGGTTTCCTTTGGAACCAACACCATAAGTGAAAAGGGGTGGCGGCAAGATCTCAAGACCCCGAAGACAGGCCTGTTATGCTCCGGCCACGGCACGATAAACAAGAATTTCATGATGTTGGTTCTTGGTTCATGGTTGTCATGGCCGCAAAAGAAGAACCTTTTAAATGTTTGCCAGGTCCTTTGGGCAAGTGAGTTCTTGTGGTAAGGGTTGGTTCTCTCTTCCAAAGGGGCGTGCTCAGCCCATTAAGAGCTAGGGTTCTTAGAAAGGTTCTGAAAGCCATGCTGGCAGGGGGACTGATTTGCCCCGCTTCGCTTGCTTGTGGCCATTTGTGCTTGCATCTCTGCTAGGACACAGAGTACTGCGAGGATGCCGAAGATGTCGAGGCATGGCGGTGACTCATTGACTGGTTTGGATCATGCCGCAGCATATGGGCGTTATCGGGGTTTGCGGGTGCTAGGTGAGCCCAAGCTGCGGATTGCCTCGGAGGTCAGTGAGGTGATGATAAGCCCCCCAGTGAAGTCAGAGGTCACTGATTTGTCAATATTATTATATATATATATATATATGTGACAACTTCCGATTTTGCTGGGTCCACCCTGTCTCCAACGACTGCCGTCCTCCATGTTTAAGCGTGACCGGGGAGCTTCTTTTTTGGAATGAGGAAAGCGAACCACCCCTTCCGCTTTTTAGGATCACCTTTGTCTTGACGCCCGCAGTAGACAAACGTCCATTTTTCATTTTGTGGGGAAGACTAGAGACATCGAATTGGGTATGTTCCCCCCCCGGCCAAGACCCAGAGATTTGGTTGCCTTGACAGCCAGCTAAACAAGTCTTTGTTCACCTTCTAGGGCCTGTCAGGTTTCTCTTGATCCACCGAAAGGGCATCGCTTCATCAGGGTTGCTCTGAGCTGCTAAAGCAGGGATCCCAACTATTTCTCCTTGAAGGGCGGCTGAGTGTTTTGGAAGGCTACCATCCTCCTGAAGAGGCCACTTGCCCACTTCCACGATAAGAAAACTCGCCATTTCCCATGTTGCACCTCCAAGAAGCAAGCCAACTTGGGTTTTGTAAAGAGGAATCCCAGACGTCCAACAAACTGGGGGGACCCAAAAGAGCTTGGGCGTGTCTTTTTTGAGGGTACCTTTTTTTGTGGGATTCAGGGGAACCAAAAGGGACGCCACCATGTGTTGTTGGCGGTCGGGGTCCCCTAAAAAAAGACCCCCACTTGTATCCCAAAAGGTGCACAAAGGCTTTCCTGGTGGGTCCAGACTGGTGTTGCCCCAGCTTGAGTCGAGCTCGGTTGAGCCCAAATTGAGCGAGACAAAATCGGAGCAACTATATGTAAGGAGCTTCACACTATTCTTATGACTAAATGGGGGTTTACAATACCCCAGAACCCCATTCTCATTCGAAACAGCACCTAGTTCCCCCCTGGACGAGCTGCGAAACAGACCCAACACCCCTTCGCTAGGTTCGAGGAGGTTTTCCTCAGAACCTTTCATGGACACAGGAGACCCAATGAACCCCCTGTTTTTCGCCTTGCCACTCTTTAGCGAGCAAAAAAGCGGGTTCGTTGCAGCTCCAGGTTTGCTGGGTTGATCGATCTCCAGAGCTATTTTGTATTTCAGGGTTGACTGAACATGACACAGAGCCTGAACCTCGTATTTTGTGCAGGGTTGCATTTTTGTTGATTGCCCCCAAGGTCGACTTAAACCCAGGGTTTAAGTCCACCCGCGGGCAATCAGACAAAGGAACCCTGATTTTCTGTGTAAAGGGATCCCCGGAGTACACCCCGGGAATCCTTCACTTGCGGAGATGAAACTGCTACAACGCATTTCCTGAGTTCATGGACTTTACTCACTTTTGGTTTTGGACCATTTTAGTGGCATACAACAAGTTTATCAACTTCTTCTGGCCCATCCACTCAGGAAGTGAGATTCGGAGTTTCTGCGTCTGTGAACGTTACCCAAGTCAGGCCGCCTGCTTCGAGTTCCACCTGGAGCACTTCGCCGAGCTTGCTGGTGTGAAGGCCGCGAAACGGATGGTTGGTTAGTGCCCTTTCTCACCTATTTTTGGTTGGGAGGGTTCGCTACAGAACGCACCTGTGTCAAAAAAAACCCTCTTGAGGAGTGCACCAATTTTTGCAAAGGATTTGTTTTTGTTCCTTGCGTGTTCGTTTGCTCCCTTGCCTGCCTGCCTGCCTGCCTGTCTGCCTGCCTGCCTGTCTGCCTGCCTGCCTGCCTGCTGCCCGCTTGCCTGCTCGCCTGCTCGCCTGCTTTGTTTGTTTGTTTGTTTGTTTGTTTGGTTATTGTAAACGTTTCGCGCAGTCCGACTCGGCCAGTATTCTTTTGGTTGGCTTTGAGGTACTGTATGGCACTGTTTGTTGGTTTGCCTTGGAGTGTTTTTTTTTGGCTGGTTTCCAAGATCAAAGGTGGGAGCATGTTCGCGCGTTTTCGCGCGGCCTCAGAACGAAAGCCGTAGTTTAAGGCGAGAGCTACGGGGCTGGGGCTGGCGCCCTGGGGTCAGGCCATTCGGAACTACCCGATCTAACCCAACTGAAGCTTCACAGGGTGGGATCAACGCTCGCCCGTGGCCATCCGAGGCCTCTCTGTGAGTGGCAGCATAGGCCCACGATTTGGCATCACGAGGCTTACTTCCCACAACCAGAGGCCCAAACAATTTGGGAGGCCCAAAATGTTAGAATCACAGATGTGCCACGGCCCGCTTTTGGACTCGCTACATCCGAGGCCAAAACCTGGTGCTAATCAGGAGTGCCCCATTTTTTCTGCAGGGTGTCCCCTTTAAACAATGAAGCATGCCCAGTGCTTAGTGCTTAGTGCTTAGTGCTGCATTTGCTTTTCTCTGGCACGCATGGGCTGTCTTAAAGGCTGGAAGGTGTATACGCAACCGGAGGTCAAGGGCAAGTCGCCGGTTGGGAAAGACCTGAGAGATGTGGGAAATCCCATGGCCGCCATTTGGTCGGGCCGTCGATCAAGAGTCGGAGGCTTGGGAGTCCTTCGGAGACGAGACGAACGACGCGGCGGAAGAGGACAGGGCTCTCCTGATGGAACCCCCCGTGTCTTGACCCCTGATTCCGGTGGTTAGAGATGTGCCTTTGAAGAGGCAACTCCTCAGTGTTGCGGTAAAAAACCGTCTCAGTTGGCTTGTGAGGTTTTTTTTGTATCCGGGGCGAGCATTGCTTGGACCAATACACGAGCCCGCTTGTTTGTGTCTTCAGTTCCCCTAGGCACACCAAGCTCCCCCAAGAAGGCAACTGGCATACGGGAACAAAAACCAAAACCTGCGTACCCCCACCTTTTTTCAACTCGAGCCACACCGTATCAATTATTTGTGTTTGGAAGAACTGACTTGCAAGTTGGCAAGGGCTCACGCGTGCCAGCATCTTGCCCAGCCAGCAACCCAAATTGGTGTTGGACCGCATGGTTCGCAGTTCTTCGGAGTTGCTGGTTCCAAGGTGTGTCCTACTTATCCTTCACAGGCGATTGGCAAGAGACTACTTCCTGGACAGCATAAAGAAGCTGTGGTTTGCCGATCATGCCCCTTTGTAGAATTTGGCAAGAATTACTTGATTACCCCTTCCCTTGCTTTGCTCTAAAGCTTGCTCGACCCTGGAAAGGTGTTGTATTCACCCTGCTGTAAGTTGGCTTTGAACGGTCCGCTATCACGTTGTTCGGGCCGTTCGCATGGTGTCCTGCTTTTGTAGGTGCCACTTGGCCATGCCATTGCCTGGATGCACAAACGGCACTTATCAATGAAAACCGGTTCGGGTGGACGAAGGTCAGAAAGCAGTCTTGCCATGAAGTTCTGAAGTGCAGCAGGAAGCCCTTGTAGATATGGGGGTTGATCAATATTCCTGGCCCACGATATGACTTTGGGCAACTTTTCCCACTTAGTGGGAAGCATCGTCTTTTTGGTAGTCTTCCCCAATGGTCACCTATGAAAAGGACCTCTTGATCAACCCCCATATTGTTATGTTTTTTGGCAGGAGCCTCCCTTGCACAACTTGAGCGCATGGCTTAGCTGGTCGCGCGACAGTCGAAGGGAATTTTTGTCTTCTTCGGTGGCCGGTCTGTTGGTTTGCCTTAGGCCATCTTCAAAAGGGGCGAGGCGCCACTTTCGTGTTGAGCTACTCGTTTAAAGCAAAACGCCTGTTGGACCAGGGATTGGTCCAAACCGATTTTGGGCCAAAACAGCAGCTGAAGCCACCACTTTGAGGAAATCGCGCCGCCATTTTGTTGAAAACCATCCCCTCTGGGCGGGATTTCGAGTCCTGTTTGAGACTGACCCAGTGCTGATGCACCACCTTTGACAAAGGCGGAATAAACCACCAGGAGATCACGCGTTCCGAAGCATTCCCTGCTTCGTGCATTGACCATTTCATTTTTTTTGTAAACTATGGGTGTGTTTGTTTCGAGGATACTACCCTTTCTTTGGGTTGGTTGCAAGGGAAACCAAAGGAAGCAACGACCCATGCAGTCCCTCTGCTATTTCGAGACAAGCCTGGGGCCGGGCTGAAAAAGACGCGTGCCCAAGCACTTTGTACTTGCATTGATGATTGAGTTAGTCAATGAATCTTAATAAATCAATCTTAATACATCAAAAAGTCCATTCAACGACATGTTGTTCATTTCTTCCATTGGTTGCCTTTTTCTCGGCTTGCAGGGGTTCGTTCTCTTGAGCTTGCAAGCCTCGGGGGCCCCAAGGAGGGCCCTTGGGATCTGACCGAGAGGCCGAGGGGCTCAGGACCTGTTGAAGCGGTTCTCCGTTTTGTTAGGAGAATCGAAGGACACTAACTGACTGTTAGTAGACCAAGTGACACAGACACAGAAGCCACCCAAAAGCGGAGCTCCGCTTGTTTTCTTCTTCTTCTTCTTTTTCTTTCTGGGAAAACGAGAAACAAGGAACGAACCAGGTTCAATATAATTGGGCGGTGCAGCATAGGACGTGGCGCTGGAAAAGTTTGCCGAGAAATGGAAGGCAGACATCAGGCATTTGCCGAAGCGCATCCAAACAACACAGGACAGACTTGGAGATCATGAGTGAACTACAAACAGGCATGAAAGAAGGGACCTCTGGTGGCGTCAGGTTCCAAAGGGGCTTTCTAGAGGACGGGCTTTCGAGTGGAATCAACATGAAACGAGCAGCGAGGCAGTCGCTCCCCTGTTTCGCAACCCGTGTGACAGCGGTACCCCAGACAGAAGGGCACTGCGGCACATCCCGTGCGTGTGGGCCCTTTCGGCTTAGTCATTGGCGGTTTATACTAAGTTACTTAGACCCTGTGTGGCAAACAGCTGCAGCCCATGAGGTCGGCTTTCTTGGTTCTTTTTGGGCGTGCCCCCACAGTTTTTCCACCACGGGGGCAAGAGGTTAATGCTGATACGAGAAGTGTGTCTCTCGCTTTGCTGGATAGGTGTGGACCTCTTCCACAGGCTGCTGATGAGCGGATTGGCGCGGTGCCAAGACGGCCTGGGAATGCAGAGCGAGTGTGTCTTTCTGGGTGTGCTTGTTTGGTTGGCTGGGTGGCTGGCTGCCTAACTGCCTGGTTGGTTAGCTGGTTGGTTGGGTGTGGTTTTGAGTTGCTTTCCTTTGGTTTGGTTTGTTTGTTTGTTTATTGGTTGTGGGTTTGTTTGTTTGTTTCTTTATGTCTTGTTTGCTTGCTTGCTTGCTTGCTTGCTTGCTTCCTTGATTGCTTGCTTGCTGTGATTGTTTGTTTTGTGTGGTCGGTGTGTGTGTGTGTGGCTGTTTTTGTTTGTTTGTTTGTTTGTTTGTTTGTTTGTGTGTTTGGGTTGTGTTGGTTTGGTTTGGGTTGGTGTGGCTTGGTGTGGTTTGGTTTGGTTTGGTTGGTTGGTTGGTGGCTTGTGTGGGTGTTTGTTTGTTTGTTTGGTTGGTTGGTTGCTTGCTTGCTTGCTTGTTTGTTTGTTTGTGTGTTTGTTTGTTTGTTTGTTTGTTTGTTTGTTGGTTGGTTGGTTGGTTGGTTGGTTGGTTGGTTTCTTTGTTTCGTTGTTTCTTTGTTTATTTGTTTGTTTGTTTGGCATGTGTTTGTTTGCTTGAATTGCGTTGGTTTGGTTTGGTGTGGTTTGGTTGGTTGGTTGCTTGGTGGCTTGTGTGGGTATTTGTTTGTTTGTCTGTGTGTTGTTTGTCGTTTGTTTATTTGTTTGTTTGATTGTGTGTGCTTGCGTGTGTGCGGTTGCTGTTTGCGTGCCGATTGTGTTTTGTTGCCGGAAAATGGCGGACACATTGCTTGCACCAGCATCCCGCTGGGCAAAACAATTCGATAATGGTCTGTCTGGAAAAAATGCTTGCCGAACGGGTATCATTCTGCAATAGCAAGCTCACCAAACAGGGGTAAGACAGATAATATCACAATTCAGGCTGGCAAAATACGTCAGTCCTATCTGTGGCTCCGCGTACTTCCTTCATCCTTTTGGCCGTAAGCAGTTGCTTGGTTTTTTTCCCCCTGAGACATGTGCATGCATCCATCTGCATGATGTCAAGAAAGAAGCCGAGTTGTGTGGATCCTTAAGTGGGCCAGCCGCAGCCTGCTTGGTAGGCTGGTAGAGTTTCTGGCTTTTCCCCACTGGCGCTTGCATGATACCGACTTGCATAGGGGTCCTTTTTGGTTGATTTGGTTTGAAAAATAGAGGGCCCTGGTTTACCTGGTGGTTCAATCAACTACCAGGGCCATCTATTTTCCCAAAAAGGACACCTATGCCGACTCAGAGTAGCACTTGACAGCCACTGAGAACACCTGGTGCTTTGGTCAAAGCAGCCTTCTGCTTGGGGGTGCACTCGGAGAGCCAAAATTCTGATGGGACCAATGGCTTGAGGCCATTTGAAGTACCCTCCCACCAACTGACATGGAAGTGCAAAAAGGCCCTTTCCAAGAGGAAAGTAGTCTTTCTACAGGGGTCTGTGCACTTCCATGTTAGCTGGTGGGAGGGAACCTTTGTTTGATAACTTGAGACACGTGTGTTGCCCATCGTCCTACAGCGACTCGGAGCCAACTGAGGTGCGACTGCCAACAAGGCAGCTGATCTGTGCCGGGCGGCCCATAGACGTTTCGTTTGTGGGAATTTGGGCATGTCACTTTTGTTTTGGGGGGGGGGGCACCGCCTGCTGGTGGGGTTTAAAGGGAAACCCATTTCCTGTGATGCCAAAGAGAGCCCCTTTGAAGTGACGAAGTATCGCAGAACCGATCACTTTCCACAACCATGGTTGCTTTTGAGACGAGTGTTCGGAGAGTCGGAGAGTCGAACGCCGGAGCGAAACGAGCTCATGTCTTTTGATCGCTGCTCTTTGACTGTTTGTCTGGGAGCCGCCGGGCATGGATGGTAAACCGCCAAGGAGCCCATCAGACCCCTTGTCAGCTTTCTGGGCTGCTTGACAGATTGATTTGTTGCCCAGTTCAAAGGAGGTTCGGGGGAACCAACCGGGAGGTTCCGGCCAAGTTCGTAAGAAGTTCAATTTGGTACTCAATTTGGACCGACGCTAGAATCCCCACAAAACCAACACCTTATGGTTTTTGGGGGGTGTTTGAGATGATCCTGTTTGAGTTCTTGGGCTAGGCCTTCTTGTCCCGGACTTGATCCTTCAGTGGCATTGTGGTTTGCCTTTTTGGTTCATCTCGACGGGGCTCCGCTCCTTCGGCCACCCGAGCGGAAGTCCACCCCTTCCGTTCCAACTCGAGGTGGTCGAGCGCTTCGCTCGCGCCAAATGTTCAGATCCGAGCTCCACGGAGGCTCGCTGAGCTCGCTGGGATGCAAACGTGAAAAAACGGGGGGGGGGGGGGGCCTTCCTAAATACTCGGGGTTAGGACCAAACGGCGCTGGTAAATCTAGAGGAATTAGTATGTTTGCAAGTCTTACCAAAATAAAAATAAAAGAAGCGGGTTGTGTTCCCTGAAGTTCCTCTTTCGGTTGACTGGGGCCCCTCAATTGAACCCCTGTTTTGGACCTCCAAACGTGGCATTTTGATTGGGACACCAGTAACTTGCAACTGACCAACACAAGGGGTTGTTTGCTCAAGCCTTTTGGGTCAAGAGAATCCAATCCAAACAAACGGAGGGGGGGGGGGGCTGACACATACTTGAGCAGCGCCCAAGACCGCTCTTGGCCGTTCTAGAAGGATGTTCCCTACCTGAGCGAGAGATAGAAAGGCATTGAGTTCCTGACCCAAGGTTCGCATGATAGTCCAAACCCCGATACCTTCTTTCTAACGGGGAGTGGTCCCAACCATCAACATGGACGTGACTGAAGGTTCTTGCAACACCTTCTTGGAAGCTCAGCTTTTTTTGTTTTCTCAAGTCTCTTAAAGCAACGGATCCAGTCAGCCTCTTGATTTGCAGCCCCAGCTTGAGTGGAACGACCCCCTTTTGCTTGGAATCCAGCCGACAGCCTAAGTGATACTATCCACTGCTGGGCTCTCCAAACAGATTCTATGCTAAGAATGGAGCTGAGTCAGAAGTCAGATCATTGATTATTCTTTGGTGCCCTGTCTTTTTTGCCCAGGTGTGGGGTCTCCACAGACAATTCATTACTTGCTGGTTCTCAGCAGGGAATGAGGGAATTACCCCTATACACCATCCCCTGTGCCTTCCTTTACGGGAATCCCCTTCCGGTCCATTCCCAAGACCCTGACTCGGAAAGTCATTCCCTAGCTATCGCAACAGCAAAATTGAATATTTTCCGTGTCGCCTTTGTTCTTATCTCTCCATTTGGCTGTGGTTCAAAAGCAGGGTGTGCCCAAACGGGCAAAAACCCTGATAACTGGAAAGGACGACACTTCCTGCGGTCCATATCTTGGTTGAATTTTGACCCATACCCGTGTGGGTCTAGGTCCCCGAGTATTGCCTTTTCCCCCTTGTTTGGGGGAGGGTTCCCCTACTAAAATAGACTACGTACAGAAAAAAGGGTACCATGGGTACCCTTATTCTCACCTCTCTGGAGGACCTCGAGGTATTATTGTCCTTTGGTCTATTGTTTTTGGGAGGATGCGACGACCCAAAGTACCCACCAAACCTATTCAGACTCCGCAGGCCTTTGGTCAGCTCTTCACCAGCCTCATGCCGCCTGCCAGGACCCCAGGAGAGGGAGAGCTCGGTGGCCGAAAGTTCAGGAAACCTACTGGGCGATTGACATGTGGGAAGATAGACTAGGTCCCCCAGCTAGGTGCCCTTTCTCACCGTTTCTTTTTTGGGGGAGGGTTCCCCTGCTAAAATAAACTACAGAAAAAAGTTGGTACGGTACCCTTATTCTAACCTCTCTACTGGAGGACCTAGTACATGTATATAGAAATATATAATACGTATATCGGTTTACTCAGAAGCAGATCCTGGAGGCCATGAAGTTGCTCAAGTGACTTTAAACATGTTTAAGTCAAATCTGTTGGGTTCACTCTGATGCTCCAAGACTTGTGCAGGCTCAGGACGGCGTCTCTGCCTATCTTTTAATCATGTTCCCCTCGCTACCCCGAGCAATGTGAGCATTTCTATGCGTTTGTTCCCCCCAAAGCAGAAGTGTTGCTTTGCTGGGTAGTCAGTTTTCTAGGGGTTGGTTCCCCATTCTTTTCAACCATCGTTCTTTTCGACAACCAGCCGTCTTTTTTTTTTCCCGGGGTTCTGGAGGTCTTCCAGAAAAGAAGGATCCCTGGAAAGAAGGGGGGAGGTATTTGTAGAGGTTTGCGACTTTGCCCATGATGAATGGTCCACTCTTGCGGAACCTCTTGATTCTGATAAGGGATGCCTACTCAGATGGTGGGTGCCCCCGCCGTTTCGCATGGCTCAACTGTCGGAGGCCCAAAGGGGCAACTTTCCAAATGGTTGATAAGACTTGATTGGTTTTTTTTTGGCAGGCGGGTTCCACATCGTCACTAGATCCGGTGAGTTGTTTGGTGTTCTTTTTTGTTTAGGGGGGGAGTATAGGAAGTTCATGGGAGTCCTGTCCTGAGGATCCTGGGGAAGTTGGCTTATGGCTTCATTTGCGGGCGCTTGATTTTACCAGGTGTTGGGTCTTGCACTGCTGGCCAGACCAGGAACTCGTGTTCGGAATTCTGGCCTTGGATGCATGGCAACTTCAAAGGGCGCAGCAGTGTGTTTGAGCAAAAGAGGCGGCCGACTCCGACAATTGCGCTCAGGAGGTGCTAGCGCAGAATTGCCAAAATAATCCAGCACCCGCCAATGGCTGGCCAATTGCCGGCACATCGATTTTGGGCAAAACGATGTCACTTTATGTCTAAGTGACTGCAAAAGCAATTTGCTATCAAGTATCACTCATCTGTACTTATTTGTACAATGATACGAGTGACCTTCCAGGGTCCTTTGGAATGGGGTTGCAGGGGAAAGTTGAGGTTTGGAGGGATGTACGTTGAACGGTCACATTTTTTGGATATGAGCGTGTCACCAGCGTGTCGCCCCCCTCCCGCCCCCGCGCGTTGCATGTGCAATGATCATACATGTCAGCCCAACCCCTCAGCTGGATCCCCTCTGGTATCCTGAAGTGACGTTTCAACAAAAGTGACTTTGCACTGCACTTTGATGATGGCAACAAAATCTATGTGACTACAAAACCATTTTTAAGCAAGTGCTGGTCAATTGCCGGCACTTCACCCGGGACGCCAATTTCCGGCCATCGGGGGGGGCTGGATGGGCCGAGTATGTTTTGATTTTGCCAGGCCCTCTATTTAGCGCAGGGTAGCTCAAAGTCACTAAAGGGTGACCAAACCCGAGCAATTTGGTCTGGTTCCGTTTCGTTTCCTTGCAGATTCATTTTCTGCCCTGCCAGCCGGGTCTTTGGAGACGTGCCAGCCGGCTCACTTCCTGAGTTCCTGGACTTTGTTTTTTTGGTTTGGGAAGTACTTTTCGACAAGCTGCATATGCTCGGCGTTTAGCGGAGCATATCCTCGAATCGTAAACAACAACTCCTCACTTTTTTCTTGGCCATTCTACTCAGGAAATGAGGCACGGGCGCGTTTGGAGTCGGATTCTCGGAATCCGTGTCGAGGCTGTGATCTTCAACCGCGACTGTCGCACGGCCTTGCTGCAATCCAACGAGAACGTCGAAGCCTGGACCTCGAACGATCTCGAGAGCTGAGCTGATGTCTTTGCTTGAATGATTTCCATTTGCTGAAATGAATGTTTTTTGTTGTTGTCAACTTCTTGGTTTCAAAGGGACTCGGTTTCAGCGCCGGACCTTTTCTTTCAAGGGACGTCAGCAAATGCAAGATTATCCTCCCACCAACTAATATGGAATCTGACGTTCGGGGGTCCCCCCTATGGTCCAATCCAGGACCCGCCGAACGCCACGTTCCATGTTGGTTGGTTGGAGGGTACCGCTTCTTGAAAGATGGGATCTGCGCAAATCGCCACGAGCAGGGGCTAATTGGAGCTCAGCTGTGTCGAAAGTCTCTTACTTGGGGATCTTGGGGATTCCTTGTTTCCGGTTTGTGCAAGAAGTGATGTGCAAGAGGTGTAACCCCGGAATTCTGTTTATGGGCGCATCTTCTATTTCTGGGGAAGAAAGGGGCGTCCAACCCCTTTAACAGAGGTAGGGATGTTGAAAATGAAGCAGCCCCCACAAATCCGGCTCAACTGGAACAAGTCTTGTTCACAGTGACTACTGGTTTGCGAAGTGCGTTTTGCTTTGGTTGGGTGGCCCAGCTGCGCTCTTCGGTTACCTTTCAAAGCGTCCTTTGGTTTGGCCCATGCAATCCCCGAACAAATTAGGGATCGCTACTGTGTCCGTGGCTGCTCAGAGCGAGCAATGTGACTTGTTTCCATCACACATACCCTCCACCTTATTTGTCTCATTGAGTTGTGTGAGAGTTCAACCTTTCCATCAAACGCGTTCTTCGTGGTAGTGGTTGCCAACGACAACGGGCCATTTGTTTGCTGCAGATAAATCATACCGGCGGCGTTTCCGGAACCTGCAAGAATGGTTGGTGGCATAACAGCTTTGTCTCATGCAAGAAATGAGACCGTGCACGGATTCCACCGGATCCGAACAAGCAGCGGTTCGGCAGCCTTCGCAGAAGCCTTCTCCCTTTACCTTCGCAGAAGCTTTTCGGCTTCGCCGGTATCTTGCTTCGTAGCGCTTTTTCTTGGAAGGTCTCCATCATGCAATGATCTTGCATTTCCCCTTCCGACAAGTAGTTTCTCAGCTGGAGCACGACCCTGTAATTTAAACATGGCGTCATTACCCAAAAGAAAAGGGTCATGGCAACCCATGTTTGAAGGGTGGAGACAGCAGGTCGCGGTTTTGCCCACCTTTTCGTTTCGGAAATCATTTAGCTGCCTGAGGTGAGGTCTTTGATCGCTGTCTAATTCACCGAGCCATGAGAGGGCTGCCACGGGTCTCTTTGGGGACCACGGCGAGAAGGGTGTGCCATGGTCAAGAGGTCTTTGCTTCAAAGTGCTGGACCCGTAATGTTTGCATGTGATGGGTTGACAACATGGTATATTTGGTGCCCCTTTTGCTGGGATCGTCATTTGAAGGCCGCGCAACTTGTCTGCTAATCTGAGTAAGTCGTGAATAGTTATTTGCAAGAGCAGCTATTCGCCTTGGACGAGCGTGATCGACACTGGGATGCCAAAGCGGAACATCAGGGTGAACAAGGCCAGTACTCGCCATTCTGAGTGAAATGAGCCAGCGAGAAAAGGTTGAAGACCTAAACGACCATGGCGCACGTGTCCGATCTTCCTGCAAGTCTTGCATGTCGCTCGCATCTTGCATGTGCATGTCCTTTGATTCTTAATATACATGGATGTAACAATCGGCTCACTGCAGCCTGGTTTGTGTCTGCTGATGTATGCCAGTGGCAGGTGTGCAAAAATCGTTATCATTGTTCAAGGAAGTTCAAGGATCTGTTTGTCACGCTTGATCAGATCATGCTATTTCAGCATCCAACCTGTTAATGCCAACATCAAGTGCTGCTGCTTCTATTCGCCATGGAGCAGACTTGACAACTCCACTCTTGAGCTAAGCCGGCAATGTGAGATGCGGAGAGATGCGCGTGAAGGCATTGGCACGGGCTCGATTGCAACTTTTGGGCGCTTGCGATATTCTATGTGAGGTGTTCCCTCAGGGAACAGGCACATGGAATGGCATGCTGGGCACCGCAACTTTGTGTACCAATTCTTAAGCACAGCCTGCCTCACTTTGTGTACTTTATGTGTACTTTATTTTTTTGTGTACTTTCCAATTCTTAAACACTTTGTGTACTTTATTTTTTGGAGATTCCGGTGCTTTGGCTTGAGCGTTGGGCTCCTTGGAAATCCATCTGCTGCTTGGATCTCCGTGAGCCGTTTTTTTTTCCAGTTGCAGAGGCGGGCGCCTTTTGAGTCGGCGCAAGTCGGATGCAGAGCCGGCACCGGTGGCTGTTTACCCCGCGCCAACTCTGACATCAGGAAGGGGGTGGATGCCCCATGAACCATCGTCCCTTTTGCACCCCGCCGTTTTTTCTGGGTTTGGAATGAAAGATCCCTGGAAACGGCACAGTTACCCCTGGACTTGTGCCGTCCCGTTCGGCGACTCCAACTTCTGCGTCTCTCAGCGTGTCGGACCTGGCTGGGCTTGATGAAATCTCAGACCTATTGCTCATTGTTGCTCACCTCCGTAGGCGAGTATGATGCCGTATAATGAAAAGATGGCCGGTAACAAGTCAATTCTATAAATATACCAAGTTCCATATGCGTATATATATATATATATTGAGATTGTAGCTGTTCAAGCCATTCAATTCGAGTGTGCTTTTGCCAGACAAATCCGAGAGAGAGTGTGATCTTCAAGTTCGGAGCTTGGGGCCGTGAACCTGAAAACTCAAAACGGGTGGGCCCAGTTGGTCGTTCAGCAAGCAAACTCGGATGGACCCCTGTCAAACGGTTCAAAGGTATGAGCGGTGTTAGCATGTTTTAAGAGGTGGGCCCATCTCTTGGAAACCGTGGAAGTTGATGTGGCCGTGTCGCAGAGCCATGTCCGACAACTGAGCTGTTCATAGTGACCCGTCGAGCTGTCCGCAAAGGCTGGGTACCTCCGCCCCTGAGATCGTTTGAAAGTCTTCTTTGAAATTTGCAAAAGCTCAGATGTGTTTGCTCAGAGGGCAGTCCCACTTTTTGCTTTCAAGATTCCATACCTGGACTGAGTTCAAGAAATTGTGTGTTACTTTGCTGCTTAAACATTGGGGAACCTTCATCAGGTGATTGGTGTTCTGGTTCCCTGAGGCGAAAGGGGTGCGGGGTCCCTTTTTTTGAGCTCCGAGTTTGCCTTATGTTGATCCAACCCGCTCCTCTTGGAGGGGAGGGCAAAGAAGCTTCTACATATACTCACACTGAAAAAAGGGATCCCTGTGAAAAGAGCCTTCATGGGTTGTTGGTTGCAAGCCAAATTTCTTTGGCAAGTCTCGACTAAATGTGCCAGTAAAATCAACCCGCCCCAGAGTTTATGGATTTATACTTCTTGGGACGACTGTGTTTTGCCAATCCACTCAGGAAGTGAGACAATCTCCTAAATGCTGGGTATGTTACAAGACTTCAACCACCCAAACAGAGGAGTTCTCCGATCGTGGGTCAGGTTGCTACAGCTCGCTAGCTCCAATTGGCAAGGCACTGTAATTTTATTCAAAGGCCAACACATGCAATTTGTGGCCGTGCCGTGTCAACGACTTGGTGTTTTCATGTTCACCAGATCTGGCAAATATGCTTATTATGGGTATGTGTCAACAAAAGGAGGACCGACAAATGGTGGTGTTCCTTATGATTGTCCTTTAACACAACCTGAGCACGGTACCCCAAGACGACACACATGTACTAGATTCAGCGATTGGCCGCGTGGACAGTTTTTCTCACCTGTATAGAGCATCAGGGGCAGGGCCCTTGGGTTGATTTTGGCAATGTCAAGTGCCTTCACCATTCCACTTTTGTCCCGCGTTTGAATCCGAGGTCACGTTTGGTGAGGTGATGATAAACACGGAGTTGGTCAACATGAACCAATCCTTATGCCATGTGGTAGTGGCTTGAAATCTTGAACAGCTTTATCATGCATGCAGGCCAGGTATGTTTAAGAATCAAGTGCAGGTGTACTGGAGATTGCTGTATTTTTACCATCCCGAATAGTATTGTTGATATGTATATATTATACATATATCTTGTTGTAGCTTGTTTGAACAGACCTTAGATTAGAAGAGGCGGTTCCTCGGTGCTTTGCGACAGCTCGAGCCTGGCTTTTGAAGGATCCCAGGCGCGGTTCGACCATTTGGAAGAGCCGCCGGCCGGGAAGCATCCGGCGACGTATGACGCCTATAGGGCAGCTTGCGGTTTGACTCAGCTCTCGCATCCTGTCAGATATTGTCATGCGACAGGCTGTGGAAGGCGAAAGGGCTGGTGGAATGCAAGAGCAATTGGATTCTGTCATTCAGGACCTTTTTGGACAAGAACCTGCCATAGCCTCCCTTTCGGACTTTTGACTGCTCTCCACAGCCTGACAATCCCTTTGCCGGCGCACACGAGTTGGAGCAGCGCCCGCCGATTCGCGCGATGCACACCCAGGCCCGCTGCTCTGCTTGTCGAGCTGCGTGCGCCCGGAAATCTATTTCTACGGACAGCTGCCACGACGCATGCGAGCCCGATGTGATCTGAAGAGAAGATCTGAGCCTGAAAGTTGTGTTTCTTTCGGGCTCGCACACGGTGGGCGTCTGGCCTTGGTTCTATAAAAGACGACGGTGCTCCTGCCGGGGCCCTGGAGAGGGGGTTGCTGTTTTTTGGGCGGGGGTACGTGCACTTTTGCTCGGGAGGTTTGGGCTTGATCACAGTACGGACTTGGCTTCATTGGTTGGTTCACAAATGGCTGTGGGTCAAAACCAATGGTACCATTTTGGGGTAGGCGCACCACCCATTTCAGATTGTGTTAGTGGGGACTGGGTTCGCTGGGGGTACGGGCTTTTGACCCATGGCCAAATATTGATCAGCCCTGACAATGGCAAAATGTTGTTTTTGTTTTTTACGGACCCTTCACCTTTGAGCTGCTGTGGAACAGCGTGCCTGCGCAAGCAGCAAGAAGTTCCAGTGTTTGGTAAGGGGCGCTGTTGCCACCCAGAAATGCATTGCAAAGGCCAGTGATTCGGAGAAACAATGATCGAAGTGGCAGAGTTACTCGATCCACGGCGTTTTGAACTTCAAGCGTTGATCAAGTGTCACAGTGTCACAGGGCTCCTTAAAAGATACATTTTGCCCATTTGAAACATGGCTTTTTCCGCCAAAATAAAGGGACACCACCATTTACAAGACAATGTTCAGGTGTATAATGTAAGGATCCCTGTGTCAACGGCTTGAAATGTGACTTGAGTTTGGTCGACTGCTCTCGAAGTCCATCAGTCCCTTAAGAGACGGTATCCTGTGGCCTTTGACCAGGCATGACAAGAAATCTGGACCATTCTGGACCCATTTCAGGATCCCCCCCCCCAAAACAAGAATGCTCCCCTGGCGATCAGCATGGAACCTAGGTACGCTCACTCCCCCATTTTCCGCGAGGACAATCCTCCAGAAGTTCTGTTTTGGGTGTCAGGTTGATCGGGCCTAGGGTTCAGCACGGGATGACTTCAGATGGTCGTGCGGACCCAGCTCCTCGAAATGCCGCCCTACACCCAATACCCAATTGTTGCAGGGTATGATAGGGTATGCCATCAACCGCTGACTAAAACACAAAAGTATCGACCCTGGCAACCAAGCTTTCCAAACAATACGATTAAACTAGTGGGTATTTGGAGTAGGGACCTCCAGTCAGGTTCCATGTTAGTTGGCAGGGTAAGTTGGCTTTGTATGTCATTTGAATCGCATATTCCTCAGGTGCCGGGTAAACAACCTGGAGTCCTTTCTGCCCTTTCTGGTAGCCCGATGTATCCACTTCCCTTCCCGGCCTTCGGGATCAAGCGGGCTCGCACGCTGAGGAACCTCAGCTCTGCAAAGATTTCTCTCGGCTGTGCTGCGGGAGGTTGCCGGAAAATGCGCGACGCCAACGAGTTGACGCGTCCCGCATGGTTGTGGACAGGGTTTTAGAGCAGGCCACTTTGTGTTAAAGTAGTCCCAGAGATGAGAATCAACCAATGTGGGTATGGGTCAAAATTAAACCACCAGGGGACCGCAGGTTTTGGTCCATGTTTCCACTTACTGGGGTTCCATTTGGTTGCTCTTTGGGTTCGAGGCTAACCCAGGAACAAACAAACAAGCCTCTCGTTTGTTCTAAGGTCAAAGAACGAGCCAGCTTGGAAACCAGCTGGATTAGGAAACATTTGGGTGTAAGGAGGCAATGTCCCAAACCTGACAGCTGCACGGCGCAGTGGGATGCAGATGAGCGGAGTCAGGGGGTGTTCTCCCAATTGAAGCGTGGCTGGCCGTTTCCTACTAGCAGCGCAAAGGCCTAGGCCTTGATTTGCATTGGAATGAAAAGTAATTCTGGGCGTTCAGAGGGATTCAAGGGGGACCCCCCCCCCCCAAAACATGGACGTGACAAACATGTGCCGCAGGCATTTGCCTTAGGCTATCATGGAGATCATATGGATTCATGCCATTCGCCTCCCAAACTGACCCCCAGTTGCAGCCCATGCGCTGGTTTCGGGGTGTCGGGTTGGCAGGAAAAAACAACATGAAAACAACATAGCTTTTGGGCAGCCAACGAGAGAACCAAGACAAAGCGAGGAAGCCAAGTCCATTGCCAAACCTTGCCCCGCGAACCCATTTCCCTTCTGGGGTCACTGGTCGTCAAAGTGAGATCTAGCTTCACTCGCACCTGCACCTCCAACATCTCCAGCCAAACTTCAAAACATGCCCTACCTCCAACACCTCCATCTCCAACCAAACTTCAAAACATGCCCTACCTTCAACACCTCCATCTCCAACCAAAGCAAACACAGATGCCCTCAGCCTTTCACCGAGTCCTTTCCCGCTTTGACCGTTCCGCATACCACTCGACTCGACTCCGACCGCCATGCGGCGGAAGCGTGTGCTTCCTCTGGCTGTAGCTTTGGGCCTGGCGTCTCGCCGGGAAGCCCATCGAGGGTCGGAGGGTCGCTGGTCTCGTTGGGTCTGTCCATTTTTTGGGGGGAACCGTCTTTTTTTTTTGCCAGGTTTCTTACAGGATTACCGGGAATCCAAAAGGAACACAACCGTTTGGGGGTACCCAAACACAAACTCATTTGTTGTATGTGAAGATTCAGGTGACGATGCTCACGCTGTTGAAGGTTCACGAAATGGGTGTTTATCAAAATGATTCACGAAATTGGTGCTTGGTGTCTTGGCTTGCCCTTTAACATCCAAACAGGTTCCCCTAGTTTGAGATGGATCCAAAACACAGAAACACAATCTATTGGTGCCCCCTATACCAAGCTTCGGGGATTTGGGTCTTAGGTGGATTGGAATTTCGGGCAAATTCGAGGGACCGATTCGGGGGTAAAACAAGCCAATCGCACATGATGGAAATTCTCTCATTTCCAGTTTGTGAATCTACCTGGAGTCCCCATGACCGTTAACAAATGGGTTCATTACTCAAATATTCTGGGTCATTGACCCATTTTTCAAGGGTCATGGAGACTCCAGGTAGCAGTTTGAACATGGGTCCTGCAGAGTGTCTACACTGGCTGAGGCCTCAAAGGGCATCTTGGAGGAACTTATCTATCCCAACCAACGCTGGTAAGTAAATAAGGACCTGGACAACAGGCAGAAACAGACAAGATCACTTTTGACTCCTTGCTTGCGATGACCATCTCGGGACTCTGGTGGCAAGACGGAAATGGGTTGAACACCACAGGTTGGGGGCGGAGGTGCGTGCCAACCCTGCGAACCCTGCGAACCCAAAGGGCGGCAGCGTAAGACTTTTTGCGGCACACCTTTTGGGTCAGCTAATATAAACCATTCAGGGGAGGACCCTTTTCTGGAAGCTCGAAACCCATTGGTTTTTCCTTTTTCGTGGTTGTGAGGATGATCTGCTTGGTAGACTGTCTTGTTCCTTTGTGTGGCGTGATGTTTTCGGCGGTCAGATGAGCAGCTGATACTTCCGCAGCCAAGAACGATAGGAGACCAAAACCCCGAACCGCGATAGGGGAACACTCTTTCTAGTATTTTCCGTTGCTCATGCGGCAGGGTTGCTTTAAGCCTCAACTTGTCAAACCTATATGAAAAAACTCCCAGTATAGACGGGATGGGTTTTCTTTGGTGGCTCCATTCCCCAGGCACCTTCTTTGCGCGCCAAGGTCTTCGGAACACTCCTGCACGCGATAGAGCCCACCTTTTTTAATATCTTTGGGGCTTGCCTTTCCGGTTTGCCCTCCAATCATGGAAGCTGAAAGGGCCGAAGTTTCCCAATCGTTGCTTGGCAGAGGGAAGTTCCCTTTAGTCGCCGCATGAAACGAGCAGCCCCGGCGCGGAGCCTTTCGACGCCGCGTCGGAGTGGCGGCTCTCGCGAGGCTCCTGGCTGGCTCCCAAGGCGCGGAGGTTGGTCGTGTGTGTGTGTGTGTGGCATGCAACTGCACAATATGTGTATCCATATTATATGTATATATATGTATCGTCTACATAAAATTGTACATATAATTACACATATGAACAATATATACATATACAGACATATGTGTTGCCACATTGATATGTATGATCAACATAGATACCTCATTTGTTTGGTTGGACATTAACATCTTGTGTGTGCGTGTTCTCGTTCAGTATGTGTCCAATGTACAACTGATGTTGCTGTCTCCTTGTTGCCTGCAGGAAGTGTTGGGTTGGACACCATGTTGCATTGTCCCTGGCGCACTGTTCTTGGTTTGACGTGTCAAACAACACTTGGGATGAGCGACGACAAACTTATGATCCTTCTGATCCCGGCAGAAACCGGATGAGCAGATCCACCGACGCCCTCCTCCCGATTTGTCACCAACGCTCGTTTGCGAATCCAGGGGTCCGCTAGAAACTTTCGTACACTGACAAGCGGAAACCGGCCAAATTCAAACCTGCTATGATGATCGGCGCTTTGTTTCGGCATGTTTCGGCCATCCAGTTGTCAACCCCGCGTGTCCAACATGCTTTGAAGTATTAGTAATATAATATAGGCCCACACATCTTTTCATTGTGTTTCCCACTATCGCTGTTCAGCGATAGAATCAAGGCGCCAATAAACAGATGAGACTAAGCATGCTTATCAAAGGAAGCTTAGTCATAAAACTTCCGTAATACGAAAAGTTGATGAAGCAGATGCAGAGCAGAATCGGAAGATAGAGGCCGACCGAATCGCAAAGGGTACCTTTGTTCAGCGCGCGGTTCGCCACGGGCTCGCCACACATTCGCCACGGTCTGGCAAAGTTGCCCAATGGCATGCTCGCGCAAATCGCGTGGCAGGCGCAGCACTTTGGCAACCTGCGGTGCATTTTGTTCCCAGGGGCATCAGAATTCCTGACAGGCGCATCACTGTGAGAATGCGAGTTGCGCGAACTGCCGCGTGCCGTTTTTGTGGCAGGCGCACGGTTTTCGTAGCCTGCCGTACAGATTGCGTGGCAGGCGCAGTGTTTTCGCAAGGTCAAGCACAGATGTCGTGGAGGGGGGCTTTCGAAAGGCCGGGTGCAGACAGATAGAACGAAAGAAACATAGAGAGATAGATAGGTAGACAGATAGATAGATGGATAGAACAACTGGAAAGAGAGAGAGAGAGGGAGAGAGAGAGGAGACTGAGAAAGAAGGAAAGAAAGCAAGAAAGAAAGCAAGAAAAAAAGAAAGAAACAAAAAAATAAAGAAAGACTAGACAAAATGAAAGAAAAGAAAGACATAACGAAAGAAACATAAAGAAAGAAACAAAGAAAGAAAGAGCGGAGAGAGACATACAGAGAGAGAGAGAAAGACAGAAAGAAAGAAAGAAAGAAAGAAAGAAAGAAAGAAAGAAAGAAAGAAAGAAAGAAAGAAATAACAAAGAAACAAATAAAAAACAAAAGAAACAATCAAAGAAAGCAAATAAAGAAGGAAAGAAACACAGCAGGAAAGAACAAAAGTACAGAAATAAAGAAATAAAGAAAGAAATGACCAAAGGACACCCCACCTGCCAACTCGAATGCGGCAGCCAACTCGACCAACAAGGTGCTCGGGCAGGGGGAGATGCTTTGTTTCTCTTCCTATAGGCACATGTCCTTTCTAGAGACTTCCGCCCTCCAGCTTTGCTGGAGTTTGCCTGGCCTTGTCATGCGAGTAATATTGGTAGGTTATGAATTAGCTACCCACAATTGGAGATGTGTAGCAATCGTGGGTAGCTCTGGCTAGCACGACCTGCATCTCACGCCTGTGGAGTAGTAGCTGGCTGATACCTCTTGATGAGAAATGCACAGCTCTCTGGCCAAGAAGTAGGCTTCCCGAGGGGGTTTGTGCCAATATCCAGTTTATGGGAAGCCTTGTGCAGTCAGAACGAGGCCAGGGATTTAAAGGTAGGGGACTTTCCACTCTGGACCCCCCCCCCGGAAAACGGGTACCCAAGAAGTGCCAGATGGTGCCAGGAGCCGGAGCGCCCTCTAGGCCCAAGACGGGGGTACTGAAGGGTTCGTTCGGGTTTGCAGGGTCCCGGTGTTTTGGATCCTTCTGTGAGGTTACCCCACGCGAGGTTGGGCTTTCATAGAGGGAAGGCAAACCACAATTTCCATATTTTGAAGCAAATAGGGGGTTGGAGGGGGAAAGGCGAACCACCATTTGCGGGGTTCCCCTATTTTCCGACTAATGTTGACCCAGGATTAATAAACCCGTCCCATTATTAGGGGGGGTTCCTCCAAAAGTGATGAATCTCCACTAAAAGGGGACACCCCCCTATTAATCAACCAGGGGTTTATTAATCCGGGGTCAACATTACGCAGAAAGTTCGTTTTTGCAGGGATCAAAAACCAGTGCGACTCTGAGTTTTGTTGGAATCGCCTTGTGGCTGGTTTCCCTGACAAACCAGAAAGACATCAACCAACTTCGGGTAGCAACATTCTCCACTGCGTGGCTGCACGCTTCTGCAAAGAAGGGCGTAACTCATCAAAGGCCCTGTTTTATTGCCGTCTTGAATCTTTATGGGGCTCCGATTCCATCCCAGAAGGCTGGGAGTACCATGTCTCCCAAATGGGTGGCAAACCAGCCCAAACCCGAACAGCTCAAAGAGCCACCTGAGCCCGAAGAGCCCAAACACCCCCCAAATGGGTACCCGCAAATCGCCAGTTCCCTTTCGGCGTGTCTTCTTGTTGAGGCAACCCTTTCTTGTGGGTTTGAAGGAAAAGCGCCCGGTTTTCCCCGAAGCCAAGCTTCGGGGGAAGATTCACTAGGCCGGCGTGCAGCCTGGGCCGCGTGGGCCGGGTTAAGCGCAGGCTCGCGCTCCCGGGTGTGTTCTGCAGTTCTGGGGGTGCCCCTCTCCTCTTGAGTTTTGTAAGCCTTGGGCTTTTGGTTCGGGGTGTGAGCTGGACTAGAACACGGTGTATCCTTTGTCTCCATGGCCGCTGGAGGGAGTCAAGGCCCCTGCGGGCTCGACAAACATCTTCTAGCGCCACCACGTGTGCTAAGGAAAGGCCCATGTGTTGGCAAGCACAGAGCACAGGGGGCTGAGTAGCTTTGGGCATGCGTTCAAGTCCCACACGATCCAAAGTTGGCCAAGGGAACACGGGGGGAGCGTTTTGAAGCTGGCGTTGGGGCGAAGAGCGCTGATGTGGCTAAACGACCACTTGCTTAAGAATATGTTTTATTTCCCCTGGTGGTTTTAAGGGGAAACTACTACTGGATAGGTTGCTTTCCAGGGGGGCTGAAGCAAATGGAAGGAACGTGTGCGACTAGTGTCGCTACAATAAATGTCATTTATGTGCTATGTTCTGTTCGTTTCGGATCAAGTGTGCCAATGCATCAATTGCCGCCTGGACCTAACAAAAGCATAGCACCGTACGAATAACTTAGCGACCACACATTCAGGGATGGGGCGCAACCGATTTGACCCTGGATGAGCACTCAGGCGATTTATATTATTTTGTTTAGCCGTGTCAAGCAATTTGTTTCGAAGAAACAGGGTCGCACGGTTATCGTGTCGGCTTTGCCCAATGATATTGCAAGTGCCACAAAGCAAGGATGTCTAGTTAAGACTGTCTTCTTGTACACTTCTGCAGACAAACATGGAATCCGGAACCCATGACTTTGAGAGGACCCTTCTTTTTGTTGGCTCCCATTTTTGAGTAATTACCATGATTAATTTGCAGTTGATCAACCCAATTGCCTCCCATGTGCAATTGATTCCATGTGCAATTGATTCCCTCGTCCGCTGAGTTCCTGCATAAAACAGGTGCCATTTTAGTGGCTGGCCAAAAATTGCCCGCCAACAATGGTTTGTTCAATCAAGTGAAACAGTTGAACAACTTTATTTCAAGTGGAACTTGATTTCAATTCAGGTGCCATTGTCGTTAACCATAAGTTTTTTCCAACTCGACTCAACATCTGTAAATATTTTGGGTTTTGATTCCTTCTTTTGCGAACCCAAAGTGCCCCCAACTCTGTTCGATCCACTCACAAGTTTGTTTGTTCCTTTCGGCGCAACCTCCGAATCGCACAGTGGAGCCTGCGGCCGCGTCCGGCGACATCGAAGAGCCGAAGCCTTGGGTCGAAGCCTTTGGCTCGGAGAGGCGGACTCCTTGGTCACCCACCAAGCATAGGTGGTTCGTTTTTCGGTTAGTGTATCATCCATTTGCTGAAATGGTGTTTTTTTGTTGTTTTTCAATCATGGGTGTGTCCTGTTTCGGTGAGTTGAAATGTCATCCATTTGCTGAAATGTTTTTTTTTGTTTTTTCAATCATAGGTGTGTGTGTCCTGTTTCGGTGAGTTGAAATGTCATCCATTTGCTGAAATGATTTGTTCGTTCTTGTTCAATCATAGGTGTGTCCTGTTTCGGTGAGTTGAAATGTCATCCATTTGCTGAAATGATTTGTTCGTTTTTGTTCAATCATAGGTGTGTCCTGTTTCGGTGAGTTGAAATGTCATCCATTTGCTGAAATGTATTTTTTTGTTTTTTCAATCATAGGTGTGTCCTGTTTCGGTGAGTTGAAATGTCATTTATTTGCTGAAATGATTTGTTCGTTTTTGTTCAATCATAGGTGTGTCCTGTTTCGGTGAGTTGACATGTCATCCATTTGCTGAAATGTGTTTTTTTGTTTTTTCAATCATAGGTGTGTCCTGTTTCGGTGAGTTGAAATGTCATCCATTTGCTGAAATGTGTTTTTTTGTTTATCAATCATAGGTGTGTCCTGTTTCGGTGAGTTGAAATGTCATTTATTTGCTGAAATGATTTGTTTGTTTTTGTTCAATCATAGGTGTGTCCTGTTTCGGTGAGTTGAAATGTCATCCATTTGCTGAAATGATTTGTTCGTTTTTGTTCCATCATAGGTGTGTCCTGTTTCGGTGAGTTGAAATGTCATCCATTTGCTGAAATGGTTTGTTCGTTTTTGTTCAATCATAGGTGTGTCCTGTTTCGGTGAGTTGAAATGTCATCCATTTGCTGAAATGATTTGTTTGTTTTTGTTCAATCATGGGTGTGTCCTGTTTCGGTGAGTTGAAATGTCATTTGTTTGCTGAAATGATTTGTTTGTTTTTGTTCAATCATAGGTGTGTCCTGTTTCGGTGAGTTGAAATGTCATCCATTTGCTGAAATGTATGTTTTTGTTTTTTCAATCATAGGTGTGTCCTGTTTCGGTGAGTTGAAATGTCATTTATTTGCTGAAATGATTTGTTCGTTTTTGTTCAATCATAGGTGTGTCCTGTTTCGGTGAGTTGAAATGTCATCCATTTGCTGAAATGGTTTGTTCGGTTGTTTCAATCATAGGTGTGTCCTGTTTCGGTGAGTTGAAATGTCATCCATTTGCTGAAATGTGTTTTTTTGTTTATCAATCATAGGTGTGTCCTGTTTCGGTGAGTTGAAATGTCATTTATTTGCTGAAATGATTTGTTCGTTTTTGTTTTTTCAATCATAGGGTGTGTCCTGTTTCGGTGAGTTGAAATGTCATTTATTTGCTGAAATGATTTGTTTGTTTTTGTTCAATCATGGGTGTGTCCTTTATCGGTGAGTTGAAATGTCATTTATTTGCTGAAATGATTTGTTTGTTTTTGTTCAATCATGGGTGTGTCCTTTTTCGGTGAGTTGAAATGTCATGTATTTGCTGAAATGATTTGTTTGTTTTTGTTCAATCATGGGTGTGTCCTTTTTCGGTGATTTGAAATGTCATTTATTTGCTGAAATGTGTTTTTTGTTTTTTCAATCATAGGTGTGTCCTGTTTCGGTGAGTTGAAATGTCATTTATTTTCTGAAATGATGTTTTTTGTTTTTTCAATCATAGGGTGTGTCCTGTTTCGGTGAGTTGAAATGTCATTTATTTGCTGAAATGATGTTTTTGTTTTTGTTCAATCATGGGTGTGTCCTTCTTCGGTGATTTGAAATGTCATCCATTTGCTGAAATGATGATTTTTGTTTTTTCAATCATAGGTGTGTCCTTTTTCGGTGATTTGAAATGTCATCCATTTGCTGAAATGATGTTTTTTGTTTTTCAATCATAGGTGCTTTGTTTTTTCGGTGAGTTGAAATGTCATCCATTTGCTGAAATGATTTGTTCGTTTTTGTTCAATCATAGGTGTGTCCTGTTTCGGTGAGTTGAAATGTCATTTATTTGCTGAAATGATTTGTTCGTTTTTGTTCAATCATAGGTGTGTCCTGTTTCGGTGAGTTGAAATGTCATCCATTTGCTGAAATGATTTGTTCGTTCTTGTTCAATCATAGGTGTGTCCTGTTTCGGTGAGTTGAAATGTCATTTATTTGCTGAAATGATTTGTTCGTTTTTGTTCAATCATAGGTGTGTCCTGTTTCGGTGAGTTGAAATGTCATAAATGTTCAATCATAGATGAGTTGTCATCCATTTGCTGAAATGATTTGTTCGTTTTTGTTCAATCATAGGTGTGTCCTGTTTCGGTGAGTTGAAATGTCATCCATTTGCTGAAATGATTTGTTCGTTTTTGTTCAATCATAGGTGTGTCCTGTTTCGGTGAGTTGAAATGTCATCCATTTGCTGAAATGCTTTGTTCGTGTTTGTTCAATCATAGGTGTGTCCTGTTTCGGTGAGTTGAAATGTCATCCATTTGCTGAAATGATTTGTTCGTTTCTGTTCAATCATAGGTGCTTCGTTTTTTCGGTGAGTTGAAATGTCATCCATTTGCTGAAATGATTTGTTCGTTCTTGTTCAATTATAGGTGTGTCCTGTTTCGGTGAGTTGAAATGTCATCCATTTGCTGAAATGATTTGTTCGTTTTGGTTCAATCATAGGTGTGTCCTGTTTCGGTGAGTTGAAATGTCATCCATTTGCTGAAATGATTTGTTTGTTTTTGTTCAATCATGGGTGTGTCCTTTTTCGGTGAGTTGAAATGTCATCCATTTGCTGAAATGGTTTGTTCGGTTTTGTTCAATCACAGGTGTGTCCTGTTTGGGTGAGTTGAAATGTCATCCATTTGCGGAAATGATTTGTTTGTTTTTGTTCAATCATGGGTGTGTCCTGTTTCGGTGAGTTGAAATGTCATTTATTTGCTGAAATGATTTGTTTGTTTTTGTTCAATCATGGGTGTGTCCTTTTTCGGTGAGTTGAAATGTCATTTATTTGCTGAAATGTGTTTTTTGTTTTTTCAATCATGGGTGTGTCCTTTTTCGGTGAGTTGAAATGTCATTTATTTGCTGAAATGATTTGTTTGTTTTTGTTCAATCATGGGTGTGTCCTTTTTCGGTGAGTTGAAATGTCATTTATTTGCTGAAATGATTTGTTTGTTTTTTCAATCATGGGTGTGTCCTTTTCGGTGAGTTGAAATGTCATTTATTTGCTGAAATGTGTTTTTTGTTTTTTCAATCATGGGTGTGTCCTTTTCGGTGAGTTGAAATGTCATTTATTTGCTGAAATGATTTGTTTGTTTTTGTTCAATCATGGGTGTGTCCTTTTTCGGTGAGTTGAAATGTCATTTATTTGCTGAAATGTGTTTTTTGTTTTTTCAATCATGGGTGTGTCCTTTTTCGGTGAGTTGAAATGTCATTTATTTGCTGAAATGATTTGTTTGTTTTTGTTCAATCATGGGTGTGTCCTTTTTCGGTGAGTTGAAATGTCATTTATTTGCTGAAATGATTTGTTTGTTTTTGTTCAATCATGGGTGTGTCCTTTTTCGGTGAGTTGAAATGTCATGTATTTGCTGAAATGATGTTTTTTGTTTTTCAATCATAGGTGTGTCCTGTTTCGGTGAGTTGAAATGTCATTTATTTGCTGAACTGCTTTGTTCGTTTTTGTTCAATCATGGGTGTGTCCTTTTTCGGTGAGTTGAAATGTCATTTATTTGCTGAAATGATGTTTTTTGTTTGTCAATCATAGGTGTGTCCTGTTTCGGTGAGTTGAAATGTCATTTATTTGCTGAAATGATTTGTTCGTTTTTGTTCAATCATGGGTGTGTCCTGTTTCGGTGAGTTGAAATGTCATTTATTTGCTGAAATGATGTTTTTTGTTTGTTCAATCATAGGTGTGTCCTGTTTCGGTGAGTTGAAATGTCATGTATTTGCTGAAATGATTTGTTTGTTTTGTTCAATCATGGGTGTGTCCTTTTTCGGTGAGTTGAAATGTCATTTATTTGCTGAAATGATGTTTTTGTTTTTTCAATCATAGGTGTGTCCTGTTTCGGTGAGTTGAAATGTCATTTATTTGCTGAAATGATGTTTTTGTTTTTGTTCAATGATGGGTGTGTCCTTCTTCGGTGATTTGAAATGTCATCCATTTGCTGAAATGATGTTTTTTGTTTTTTTTCAATCATAGGTGTGTCCTTTTTCGGTGAGTTGAAATGTCATTTATTTGCTGATATGATGTTTTTTGTTTTTTCAATCATAGGTGTGTCCTGTTTCGGTGAGTTGAAATGTCATTTATTTGCTGAAATGATGTTTTGTTTTTTTTCAATCACAGGTGTGTCCTGTTTCGGTGAGTTGAAATGTCATTTATTTGCTGAAATGATGTTTTTTGTTTTTGTTCAATCATGGGTGTGTCCTTCTTCGGTGATTTGAAATGTCATCCATTTGCTGAAATGATGATTTTTGTTTTTTCAATCATAGGTGTGTCCTTTTTCGGTTATTTGACATGTCATTTATTTGCTGAAGCGATGTTTTGTATTTTATTTCCCAACCTGTTGGTTTTTAGAGGGAATCAAATTCCCTACTGGAAATATGTTCTGACAATTTCCAGGCGGCTATGGAAGATGATTGAAAGAGATGGCACTGGTGTCCCTTTGGTTCTATTCATGTACCAGTGTCTATTTTTCCAAAAGGACACTGTTGGTGGGGCCGTTAAACTGTTTCAGCTGTATTTTGTCATTGCAGTCTAAGCTATTATAGCTACTATTATAACTTTTTACCTGCAGCTTGAACAGGGTTAGACCAATATTATGCTAACAGAAACATATGTTCTTGTTTGTTTGATTTGGTAAACGAGCCCGTGGTGTCAAGATTATTTCCGGGACGCTGTTTGGATTTCCGCCTTGCATGCACCTTCACTTCCGTTTTCGGGGAACAGCTCGACGGTCCTTGGTTAGGGTGTCTTTGTTTTGAGGGCAATAAATTGGCAGTGGGCACAAATAACCCCAAAAGGGCTTGCCCAGGTAAATGGAAACATGGACAAAATCCCAGCGGTCCATATCCTTTTATTTTGACCCATACCCAAGTATATAACCTTGTTGGCCCCTTTTGCAGAGTATGAAGACCTGCTGAGTTGACTGGCTGGGAAACTTTCAAGTCATGCTAACAAAGCTTGCCACACCAGTGGACGTGTGCTTGCCTCGGGCCGGAGATTCGGTTCCGGGAAATTTCGGGGCTGGGGATACCACCTGGGCTTATTCGGGTCGGTCTGTTTTTGTTGGTCACCCTTGACGCAAAGCTGCGCCAGTGCCGAGGCCTTTGACTTATTGCGGGGGCGGCTTCTGCGCCCAGTTCCGCCTGGGCAAGGCCCCCAAGCACCGAAAGCCGCGCCAGCGTGGCCATGTCGAGGGAATCCTTTCAAGTGGCAGACTAGGGAGATGAGTGGGGTAGCCCGAAACTCATGTAAAAGGGTTTTGACCTATGAGTCGGGCCCAATCAGTTCGCGTGGCAACGGCCGATATTCACCGTGGCACTGTCCCCATTTTACAGAAGTTGGGTTGTTTCCTTTTCGCCCAATTGGAGACAAACTCAATCAATCGCCTTGAGCGCGATGCTTCCAGATGATGTTCATATTCACTCCAGTTAGGAAACAATGCGCAATCTGAAGAATGGTGGAGCCAAGTCTTGCTAGTCTCAGACCCCTAAAATGCTACGACAATGTCTCATTAATCCGCTCTTTTGTTGACTATCCTACGCGTCTTATGCGAGCATTGGGTAGACGGGTGCAGATATCAATATCCACTTCTTGCTGTTTGTTCGCATAGCGTTTGCTGTTGGCTCAAGTGAGCTCGAAGCACACACCCGAGGAGAGATCGCGATTCGTCTCGCTCGTGGTAGGCTGCTTTGTAGTCGCAGTTCCAGCGTGTTGGTCGCGGGTCGCATTTCCGAAGGCTGTTGTTGATGTTGTAATCATGCTGCCACGTGATGAGCAACAAGGTTTCCCAGAGTATCGGTTGATGGTAGATCCCTTTCAGCTCTTTGGTTCAGGGTACTCCTCTATTGTTTGCTTGCTGCACTGTTTAGGCTTCACATGATGATACCGTGTCTTTTCTCTTGTGTTTTTGCTTTTTTCCGACAGAGATTTATGTTGGCTTTGTCAAGTCTTACCATTGAGCTGGGGAGCATGCCCTCACCCATGTAAAGGATCTAGGGCCGGACCTTTTTCCGGGGGTGAACTCTAGGCATTGTTGTTTCGGTTTCCATGGGGCAACTGATCTACTATGCATGCTATCCTTGCATGATCACTCCAGCGAAGTTGCTTGTGTTGTTGATATCCTTCACCAAAACCGCAGTCACAGTTCAGGGCAACGCAACACACCAACTGCGTTATTCAAAATCATGCCTCCCTTGTTGTAGTGGTGTCCGACTACAGACTTGGATTAGGGCCCCCCCCGTTTAGAACAATCAAGATCATCAGCCACTGGTGATCCAGATCTAGGGATGTGCTGTTCCAGCCGAGTTAAGTGCTCAAAGGGCGTGGTGTGCTAAGTGAAGCCGCGGCCAACGTTTGACGAAACCCCACTTCTGCCTTAGAGCCGAAAAGGCTCTTTGTTGCTGAGAGCAGTTTGCATCATTTCCTGGGCTGTTTGCAACAGCCACCCCCCAACGACTGCTTTTTGGACAGTACTTGCGATTCTGGTGGGACAAATCAGTTGCTGGGGGGTTCTGGAGGGGTGTTTCCTTTTCCAGATTCCTTGTTCAACACCCACCCATATGACAAGCAGCTATCCTGCCGCTGCGGAGAACACGCAGAGCTCACCATGATATGTTGCAGGGAATTCTGGGACTTTCCAAGTTCCAACCCGCTTCCAGGCAACTTGGGCTTGTCCCCAATCAAAATGGACGCCAAGGCAAACGAACGGCACAGTGTGTTGCTGGGTTTCTGTTTTTAATAATGACCATGATGGCACGAGACCCTCAAGCATTTGAGTCTTTTCTCGGTCGCGATCTATGCCACATTCTGAGTCTGATTCATTAGAAACAGCTTTGTATTTGTACATGATTTGCACCACATGGTCCCCAACTGAACTTGTTCCCATATTCAACGCGATGCTACGCGAAGTCGATGGCCTGGGTGCGAGGGATGTGCAGTTTTGTTTGGCCATCTATATCATCTACCCTGTTTGAATACTGAGTGTCCCCCTTACCCTCTCTCCCACTAACGTGGCACCCATGTGGAGGTGCCTGGAAGATCAATTTCCTTTTGGAGGGACCCCCTGTCAGCTTCCATGTTAGTGGCAGGGAGGGTCCCCCTTCTGCGATGGAATCTTTCAGGAGCCATGGCGCCTTCCCGTCGCTCTCGGGCCTGGCCCGCCCTTCTGGCGCTGCCGGCGGTGGGCTTTGTGGTACCCAGGACCTGTCGAATCGAATGTCGAGTCAAGCCTATGGCTTGAGCCCGCCTCCTGACCAGGGCGCGCAAAAAGCGAGAAAGCAGCAGACTGGGGGGAGGGAGGCAAGAGTTTGGGAGCAGCAGAAACCAGCAATCCAATGGTTTGCCCCAAGCCCAGCCCTTGGAACACAGCTCCGCGTGGCCTGGGCCTCTCGTAGGATACCGGCACCTGCTCCCGAGGCACGCGCTGGAGATTCGGGTATTATGTTCGGCCAAGTTAGAAACTGGTTTGCCTGGATTGTGCTACAACCTGGCTTGCCAAAACGTACTAACTTGGCCGGACACAGGGGTAGTGGACTCCAGGTCTCTGTTTGTAGTTTGGTCTTTTTAATGTTGGTTCGGCATGTTCAACCTTGAAGCTTTTGAATGGCTGTGAGCTTTCTGGGGGTGGGGGGGTATTCTGCTCAAGACAAACCAACAAGAAGAGGCTATGGCTTTACTGTTTATCGCTGCTGGATCGACTGCAACGGCATCCGAAAACAATATTTAGTAAAGCAAGGGCATTGTCAGGTAGTTTGCTGTTTGTGGAAGATATGGTGTTCCCACCCAAGTTCCAGGTTGACAACTCCCGCCGAGCCATTGACATGATTGAGTATTGTCCATGCCTTACGTGTGCCATGCTCGAAAGACCCCTTTACTTGAGGGTGCCGGGGGCTGCCATATATATCTTAAAAGGTAGTTTAGACAACCATTTTAGAGGGCTTCCTCTTGAGGGAACCATGGCCCTTACCCACATGTTGTTGTTGTTGTTCTATGACGCGCGCAAATCACGCGCTCGCACACGCATCAATGTCCCAATTGAAATTCATACACGTGGATCCTCAAGGAAGTTCGGCAACTATGATCTGAGGAAGCCATGACCATGAGACACCTGGCTTTGCTGCCTTCTCAGAGTCGCCTCGTTCGCTTGAGGCGCCGAGTTTCGCGGGCTCGGCTTCCGCAACGCCGCTGGAGTCGCGGGGCGTGAGCGCTGCAACCTCCCTCCACGCCGCGCATGTAGCAGGCCGAAGCTCTTCGGGGACAAAAGGCCCCAGGTTGCACTTGAGGGTTGCTGGGAATGGAGTTGTTCTGCCCTGGTGCCCTGGTTGATATGATAATTACAGACTAAATGGGCGCGGGGTCCTGAAATCTCAAGAGATCCGGATCAGACTTGGGTTTCCCCGAGGTCAACGGCGCGTTCCGTAAAACATGGCCTGCCTCTGAAATTCTTCGATCCTTGAAGGGAATCCTGTAGAACAGGTCAACTGTTGGGCCTCAGGTCCGAAGCACTCTGACCTTCTACCCAAACATGTGCCATTGTTTACGAGTATAGCCCTGTGCGACTCGAATTTGTTGCCGGAGGCGACACGCCGTGCATGCATACACACACTCGCATACATACAATTACCCATTCAATCATTATCCAATCATTCATTCATGCGTTCACGTATTTATGCATTCATGCATTCATGCATTCATGCATTCATGCATTCATGCATTCATGCATTCATTCATTCACACATACATTCAGGCATGCATGCATGCACACACGGTGTATTATATACTGACAGAGCCGCTTTGTTACCCGATCATAAAGCGCGCAGTGCTTCTGTCAGGCCACGTGCTGCAAGAGCTGTCCACCAGGAGCGTGTTGCACGCAACCTCTGCTGGGGTCGTGGCTGCTTTGGCAACTCTGCTGTCAAGTGAGGGAGGAGTTGCCTACCTGAGCAGCGGCCAACCACGCGTTTGACAAGTCTAGCTGGTTGTACTACCTGGCTATACTTGGCTTCATGAATGTGGACTCCGGTAGAGCTTATGTACGTAATATTTATAGTGAACCGTATTGACATTGACGATTTTGGTGAAACCACAGTTCAATGGACTTTGGGCCTTGCTCACCTGATCACTTGATTTGCTCAGTATGCGGAAATCAGGACGGTTTGAGAAAGATGCGAGAAGAGTAGAAAACGGGGAAGCAGATGATTTTCCCTGACGGGGCGGAGTGGCATGGTCTTGCATCACCTGTTAGCGCCTGCTTTTTGAGTTCCTGGATTTGGTTTTTCTTGTGGGGGGGGGCTATCCCTGGATAAGTCTGGGATACGCCAAGTTGATAAGCCCTTGACAAGGACTTATCAAGGGGTTAAGAAGAGAGTTACCCCCTACATGTTTCGGCGTACGGCAAGTTTGCACCCGGGAGCTGCTCAAAAACGATCTCACCCGAGGTGAAGCTTAGGGATTTGTGATTCCAGGTTGGCGTCCTAAGGGCTAAGAATTTGTCCAGTCCTTTGACCAATGGAATTGAAGGCCGCTGGCGACCTTTTTGCGCCTGGTCCTTCCGGGCCTGTGCGAACTTCACCCATTGGACGGCAGGCCAAGTGAGCCACAATGGACGCTCTGCTCCGTCGAGAACAAACTCATCCCTGGCGGATCCATGTTGAAAGGAACCTCCACCCATTTTCAGAGGACCCCGTTCCATGTTGAAGAGAAACACTTAAATTGCGAGAGGAGACCCATACGCTTTGAGAAGAAACCCATCCAGTTTGACCGAATCGACACTTGGGTAGTTGGTGCCTGGTAGGGCGAAGTCCCAACTGTAAACAGGTGTGGAAACCTGTTCGATCGTTTAAATAGTGTTGAGTACATATGAACCCCTGGTATGGGTTAGTTGACTGTTAGTTATATTCAGTTATGGCTTAAATAATGGGAAATCAGCCCCCAACTGGTCCCCAATGGCCATGGGTTCATAAATGTATTGAAACAATCAGCTTTTGAACTTCATTTCCAATCTGAAGGTGGTTTCCAAGCACTGTTCAGTTTCCGCGATTGGAGGATTTGAGTTGAACTCACAGCTTTCTTCGTTGAATTGTTTTCGGGTTGTCCAACAGAGACATGCTGCGATCGTGCAGATTGCATCTAGTACATTTAAGGGATGC